CTGCTGCCACTCCTTGCCAGCTACCCCGGGGACACACCGGGCTGTGCAAAGCTGCTCGGGTCTCCTCTCCCCGCACTAAAGCCGAGCGTGCAACGAACGGCTTCTTCCTCAGGGATAACAAATCGCCCGCTTCACCCCATCAAAAAAAAAAAAAAAAAAATCAACCAAAACGGGGCAACTGAACGCGGTCCGATAGGCCCCTGGGCACGGCCAAAGCCAGCAGGGAGGCAGGGCCAGCCAGCACTGTGCCAGCTGCCCACTTAAAGCCTCCGCTGCCCGAGGGGACAGCAGGGGCCAGCTGAAAGGTCGCACCGCTGCAGCCTCGCACAGGGTCCAATGCACCCCCGACCCCAGGGAGCTCTACCACGCCCTGCACCGACAAAGGGCCGGCAAGACAGGCCCCAAACCCAGAGCAGGGACCCCCGCAGGCCCCTGGCACGCCCGACAAGGCCTCCCCGCCCCCCGCGCAGGGCACGGGAGGCCTGAAAGGAGAAGGGCGGCCCCTCCGTGCCCCGGCGGAGAGAAGGGCGGAGGGAAAGGCGGCACACCCTCCGCATGGAGGGCCCAGCGGCCCCTCCATCCCCGACACCACAAAGGGCAACGCCACCCGGAAACGGAAACAACCTCACGTCGATCACGCGCCCCTCCCGGATTTCCCCACAAAAGCCCCGCCCCCGGAGCAGCCTGACCAATCGTGTCCGCTGAAAGGGCGGGATCAACAGACCCGCGCTAGATTGACAGCTCTCTCCCCCAATGCGGTCGCAGCAGCTCGGGCCCCTCCGCTAGAAGGGCGAAGCCGCCGCGGGGCTATGGGGCGGGCAGAGTTTCGCTGTGTCCTCACGCTATTGGCTGTCGGCGCTGATTGGCGGCTCCTTAGGCCAATCCGAAGAGGTGCTCGGCGGAGGCCGGTCGGTGTCCCGCCGCGGTGCGGGCGGTGCGGGCGGAGCGGCGATGAGTGCAGCGGTGCGGGTGGGCTGGCGGCTCGGGGCCGCCGCCGCCGCTCTGCGGAGCCGGGCCGGACGCCCTCTCAGCCAGGCGGCCGGGGAGGGCAGCGGGGCCCAGGGCGGCGGCGGCGGCGGCTCGGGGTCAGGGTCGCGGGAGGCGGTGGAGCGGCTGGTGCGGGAGCACCCAGTGGTGGTGTTCATGAAGGGCAGCCCGGCGCAGCCGCTGTGCGGGTTCAGCAACGCCGTGGTGCAGATCCTGCGGCTGCACGGCGTGGAGGATTACCGCGCCCACGACGTGTTGCAGGACCCCGACCTCCGCCAAGGTCAGCGCCGCGACGGGCCGGGGTCACCCCTGGGCGCCGCCTCCGGCCGGGCCGGCCCGGCTGCGCTGGGGGGGGCAGGATTCCCTGTGGGAAGCGCCCTCGGGCGGCCGGGGCTACTTTAACGCCCCTGGCCCCGGGCAGTGTGGGAGCCGCGGGGTGGCCCCTGCCCGCTGGTCCCACCCGTGACGTGCCTCTGCTCGCTTTTGGGTGGGCTGGGTCGTGTTTGGGATCTTTTAACCAGGAGGCCCAGACCGCGGGGAGAAGGGAGTTGGGGCTGGGGAAGGGTCTGGAGAACGTCCTATGGGGAGCGGCTGAGGGAGCTGGGGGTGTTCAGCCTGGAGCAAAGGAGGCTCAGGGAGAGCCTTACCATTCTCTACGACTGCCTGAGTGGAGGTTATAGAGAGGTGGGGATCGGTCTCTTCTCCCAGGCAACAAGCGACAGGGAAAAAAGACAGTTTTAAGCTGTGCTGAGGCTGAGGGAGGTTTAGGTAGGATATTAGGAGGAATTTCTTCGCAGAAAGGGTGATTTGACACTAGAATGGGCTGCCCAGAGAGGTGGTGGAGTCACTGTCTCTGAAAGTGTTCAAGGAAAGACTGGATGTGGCACTAGTGCCGTGGTCGAGTTGACATAGTGGTGTTGGGTCATAGCTTGGACTCGATGATCTCGGAGGTCTTTTCGGACCTGATGGATTCTGTGATTCTATGTGTTAGTAGATTTTGAAGCATATCACAGAGATGTTCCATTGCGGTTGCTCTGCCCAGATGCCCAGGTTTGGTTTCTGTGACCCTCCCCATGTCCAACACATCCTGGTTATCAGCTGAACACAGTTCTGTGTGCAGGGTGACTCTGAGATCAGGCTCTTACTGCCATGCTGCCTTTCCTAGTTCATAGATACAGAGCTGTGTTAGAGACCCCTGAAATGCTTTGTTATCAGGTTTTGTCTTCCCTGTGAACAGCATGGTGAAATTTCACATATGGCTTGGACTGGTACTACTTGATTCCCAGCTGGTACTGCCTTCTGGGGTTCTTTTGATAACGTAAAAACTTATGCTAATCATTTGCACAAGAAATATTTAGTAATAGTTTCACCGTTACTGCTCAGGTGGTACTAGCTATTCTGTATAAGAGTTTTTTGCCAGTTGTGGAAACTCTGCTCTGGTAATGCTTGTCACCTTTCCCTCTTCTGACTGTTGCAGTTCTCTGAGGTTATTTGAAAAAGTTTTAAAGCAAAAAAACCCCAAACCCGCATGTACATAGTAATTAGTTTTGCAGGTGCATGGCATTAACAGTTCTTGTCCAGAATACACTAAAATGTGCGTTAAAGCCACATGCTGGCATGTATCAGGTGACTTTCTTCTCCTGTGTTTTTGGTGTCATCTGACCAATTCAGTCTTTCATTAGCTCTTAGCTAAAATGCTGAGTTTTCCAGTCCTTGTTTGCTTTTCATTTCACAGGTATAATAGTTGGTATGGTATAAAAGCTTAGTTACTGGAATTTCTGTGTGATGACATCTTTTGTTAATGAATGTTGGTTTTGTTCAAGTAAGTCTTCTACTACCTTTGGCAGCTGAACAAATTATGGCAGTTTTCTAAACTTTATTTCATATCTGAATTTATTTATTGTATGGTTTACTAGAACAGATTCAAACTAAAAAGGAGCAAACAAAACCTTGAAATCAAACCATCGGCATTTCACTTTTGGTTGAGGGGGCCTTTGTGAGCCCTTGAATGAGCAATGCATTTGTAAGTTATAGTCTCTGGGGACTTCACTACGTGAATATATAGTATTTTCTTAGTATGTAGCAGGAACATCTTCCTTCTGAGCACTCTAAATTTTTCCTCCCATGAACTCTGGCTTGTGCCAAGTGTTCCAAGAGCTTATTGCCCTCCTGGCTACCAGAGCTTTAAATTGAAATCCGTGTTTTGATCCAAACTGTTTGGCTAAGCGATGAATGCCGTTATGGAACGTACAGTTGCTCAATATCCTGCTGGTTCCCAGGTGCTTAAAGGAGTTGTTCTGTTCCCTTCCATGCACCAGCTTTGGCACCTGTCCAGCTGTACCAAGGGCCAGCTCAGTTTATTACCTGGAACACTGGGTGTGCAAGTTGAACTAGCATTTTGTACTGAGCTGAGCACCAGAGCCAGCACCAAGAATGGAGCCTTGAAGAGCTGGGGAACAACATAGCCACTTTCAAGGCTAGCAGACTCTTGTACTCCTTCAGCTGTATAACTGACTGCACTCTAAAAAGCCTGTATGTGGCTGCTTCTGTGGATGGCTGTCTCTGTCAGAGGAGAGGACAGGGCTGCTCAAAGCTGTAGTTCTGTAAGTTGCCAAGTGTAGTTCAGCAGTGACTGCCTGAAGGCCGGGATCTGGCCTCAGGTGCTCAAAAGTGAACGTGATCTGCACTGCAGAGTAGTGAGAGGACGCAGAGCCTTTAGCTGTGAAAATATCAGACATCAGCTAGAGACTGGTCTGCAAGGAGGTTGCTGTATGTGAGCTGGTCACCAGCTTTGTATTCACCTGAACCTAATTTAAAGGTTGGCATTTATCAGTGCTTATACATTTGTAGTAAGAGCAGGCTGTTGGAGAGATGGTGATACAGACAATTCTGAAGTGCTTCTTGGTCTCTTACCTGAAACTCATTTTTAGGTAGTTATAGTTCAATTGCTGGAACATGCCCTGTGCTAAAATATGGCAGGCTGTAAAAGCAGTACAGCTCCCCTACTTGCCTCTTCACCTAAAAGCGTGCTCAGATCTGTGAAACTAAAGTTACTGGTATTTCATGTGATTTATATAAACTCAAGATGAAGAGAAGCTTCCCTGACACAAATCCTTCCTTATTAATGCTTGGCATGCTCTTGGACTCCATGGCATTTCAGGTTTCTTGAAGCTGGCTCTTCCAGAAGTTATCCATCCTGCTCTCAGCTAATGGACAGTATTAGACTGGTTCAGGTCACTAAGGTGGCAGAGAAGCTTGAGATTATGTACTAGAAAAGCACAGTTTAAACTAGTTTAAACTGTTGTGGTGGTTCACCCTCAGGTTATTTTCACTGTTGCTTCACTAGTGTGGGATGCTGCAAAGCAAGTGGTCTTGATACTTCCTCTCACCCTTGTACTGCCTTCCCTTAGTCATACTTGGGTTGGAATAGGCTGCCCAGGGAAGCGGTGGAATCTCCACCTCTGAAGTGTTTAAAAGGCGGGTGGATATGGCATTTGGTGATGGGGTTTACTGGTAAACGGTGGTTCTGTGTGATGGTGCTTGATGGCCTCAGAGGTGTTTTCTAACCTTAATGATTCTGTGATCTCCATGATCACAGAATGTTTCTTTTCTGGAGAAAGTGTGGTAAGATGGGTGTTGCCTGAGTCAGTTCTTTTATGTGGGCATCATTTGTTAGTGCTAATGTTGGCAAGAGAGGCTGAAAATTGGTAACTGGAGTTGGGGAAGGGGGTGGGAGTGTGCTGGCTACCCTTTTCCATGGTGCTTTGCACCAGTCCTGGTTTCACTGTCACCATAAAGTGTGCTAGCACAGCTGTCAGCTGAGCACTGACCTGTGGAGTGTAGTTTTCCGAAGCAAACGGTGGTTCAGAGCAGAAACTGCAGCTTCTGAAGCACAGCAAGGAAATGATCTGCAGAGGGGGGGATGGAGATCCCTTGGGATGTCTGTACTGCCAAAGGAATCATCACAAACGCACATCCCGAGTGCAGCAGGAGTAGCCAGGGCTAACTGGCTTTAACACTACTGGAGTAGTAACAGTGACTAAGGCAGGATTTGGGTGGACAGCTGAGGGGGTGTTCAGTTTGTAATCTGATTGAGTCCCGGCACAAAGGCATTTAAAGCAGCTTGTCCAGTAATGGAATGCAGTGCACAGAGCAGTTGAGTTTGACTGTATTATTTTTATCTGTAGTTGGATAGGTCCTTGAAAGTACTATCAGTGCTTGTGCAGTTGGGTCCTAGAAAATATTTCTGTGAAAGAATTATTGGTGTTACCTTGGAATGCTTGTTAGCAGTAGGTTTATTATGTAGAGCCCTTGGTTCTCAATTCACATTTGGCATTGCAATATCTCAAGAAAAACAAACTCTATGTCATATCTGCTCTTTTGAGTAGTGCCATCCTCAAGCACATGCCTTAATGTTGGAATTCAGTTTTTCATTGAAACTTTAACGACCTTTAGGACAATTGGAGCAGTTTTGAGTACTCAAAGGCCAAAGAGCATTTAAGAAAAGTATTGATAAATACAGGTTGACATCAAAGCTTAAAATTTCTGCAAATTATACAACTGAGAGAGATTTTAATGAAATACTAAGGAAGAAGTACAGGTGGTGATGAAGGTTAGGTTAGATGGTTATGGGTTCCCTTTGGCCTTGATTTATATGCTAAACTTGCTATTTTGGGCTTTTGAAACATTGGTTGTCCACAGAATCTGAAGGTAAAATAGAATTCTTAACTGACAGTGCACTTTGTGTTTAGGAATACTTTGTCGCAGCCATTTTTTTTCCTAGGTTACTATTATTTTAGTGAATTTTTTTAAACA